GTCAGATGAATGTGGGAGAAGGGCGGGGGGGGAGGAGGAGGAGGAGGAGGAAGAGGAGGCGGCGATCTCCCTTGCCCGCTCGGAGATCTCCCTCTAATGGTCGAAACTTTTCCTTATTTCCAAGCTAGTCTTTCACCAACCCGCCTAATCGCCTCATTAGCATAGCAACAACAGGCCAATTGCTCAGGCGCGCAACAACAACCTGCACGCCCAGGGACACAGGTAGCCCAAGAGGACTCGCGCTGCCTTCTTTTAACACACACACACACACACACACAGGGGGGGGTGTCTTCCTTTTAGATCGTAGGACCGTTTGGATAAATAGGACAAGAGAAGGAGAGAGGAGAAGAGCTCTGGGGTTTGAACTTTCTTTCTTTCTTTCTTTCTTTCTTTCTTTCTTTCTTTCTTTCTTTCTTTCTTTCTTTCTTTTCCCCGTTTTTTAAAGTCATAATATATGCGAGCTACCCTATGGATTCCAATTACTTTCGCTTCCACCACCTCTTAGCAGCTCTACCTGTTCTTCTCAACTACTCACTCCATTCCCCACTCCCTTATCTTACATATTTCCCTGGGGAGTGGGGGGGAAAGAGGACACAGGCATTGAAATCCAGGTCATTTCCACGTAGATGCTCCTTTGGCACTCCATGGGCTCCCCGCCTCGTGTTACGGACTGCAACCTGCACCCCAATCCTAAGTGTATCTACTCGGAAGTCAGCAGGGATTTATTGGTGCGGCGATAAGATTTTACCCGTCTGCTTTTCTCTTGTGCATCTAGTGAAAAGAAAGCCCCTCTGAATTAAATGAAACATATTGAGGAGCAAATTTGCAATACTAGATGCTCGTTCTCCTAGGATGTTGCTATGTTGGGAACATCCAAGATAAGCTTTCCTCTCCTTCTTCCTGAATTTTGTTAGTTTGTTTTGTTTTGTTTTGGGATCACCGGGGCCGATTCTCCCCCTAGATCGTGAGTCCTAGCTTTGAAACGCCGATTCCTGTTTAGAGAAGAAAAACACAACAAAATCAAGCCCCGCTCTTCTGGGGTCCTTCTCACTGTAATGCATCTCACCGCACTGGAGACAACCGGAAGCTTGCCGTTTGTTGCAGTTGGTTTCATGCTTTACTGTTTAGGATCCAGAACCATGCGGCATTGTGGCTGGGGCTACTCTTGTGTAGAATTCGGTCTTTTCCAGAGTTATTGGAAGAGGCGGGTGCGAAGCACAGTTTCTTCGAAACAATGTCCTGAGACAGCAAGCATAGCCAGGGAAACGTCGAGAACGGGTCTGTCCCTGGAAAGTGTTTTAGGTGTAGATATCCGGCTCAGAGGGCTCTCCAAACTGTAGGGGTGAGACACTTCCGACACCGCTTGTACCACGGGGCACTTTTCTCACGGGCTCTGTGGGCTATTTTTGTATCAGGCCTCTCTTTCACTAGGGGTGGTGGGAATGGGGAGAAATCTGGACTATAGGAAGGAATGATGGAAGAGGAAGATGTCATATGAGCATACTCAGAGTGTTTAAGCCTGTGTGTGTGTGTGTGTGTGTGTGTGTGTGTGTGTGTAAGCAATGTAAAGGACTGACAGAGAGAGCATTGTGAGATATCTGTATAAAACATATTTCAAGGTAAATTTCGTGAAGATAAACCCTTTTCTCTGTGGAGAGGACCATGACCTTTTCTCTCCACGTCTCCATGAGAAAAGGACTGACAGAGAGAGCATTGTGAGATATCTGTATAAAACATATTTCTAGGTAAATTTCGTGAAGATAAACCTTTTTCTCTGTGGAGAGGACTATGACCTTTTCTCTCCACGTCTCCATGAGAGGAACTACATTCCTTTATTGAGTTAGGCTTCGTACCTGATGCGCAGGATGTCGACCACGGAAAACCGCTCGCATATCGCCAGTTTTGCGGTTCGGATCCTTAAGCCCCTAAGGACGAGCTAGGGCTGTTGTATTGCCCAAGAATCGCGGCCTTTTGCTGGTCCTGAAATGGGAGCGCACACTTTCTATACGGTCTGTGCGTCTGAATTAAGTGAGGACCTCCAACTTCAGCCCGGCAAAGGAACCTAATGTTGAATCACTGCGAGCTCTATAAGTCCAAGACGGCAGAGAAGCGTGCATTGCTTAGAAATACTGGACTAGCTTGACCGACCCGAAAGGTCGTTAACCTTGCTCGCATCAATGCGGAGGAAAACCGGGAACAAACCAATTAAAGCGAATGAAACTGGACTGAGACCCACTTGGGACAGAGTTCCTTTGCTTCGATTTAAGGGGAGTGTGGACTTAACCGGTGGACATAGAAAGAAAGAGTCAGAATGTCAATCCACGCCGGAAGTTTATGGGCACCCTCAAAGGAGTCCCTTCCGCGATTCATGAGGGTCGCCCTTCTTACACAGTCCCTCCCGCCGCGGGCCCCGGAGAGAACAAGCCACCCCCCAAAGCCTCCCGTCACTGTTCTCTTTTTCTCTTTTGAAACTCCGGAGGTATGAACAGTCGGGGTGGATGTCCGTTGTAATTCAAAGGTAGCTGCTGTGAGGATCTTGGAAGAACGAGGATTTCGGAAAAGGAGACATTCCCTCATACACAAACCTATCTAATGCTCATCACGTCCCCAACTCATGGCAGGAGAGTCAACGGCAAGGCGGGAAGAAACTGGGGGTGGGTGGGTGGGTGGGTGGCGGAATCCAAGAGCGCCCTGTGCCTTCCTGCATCGATCGCGCCAGCCGCCTCCCAGGCTTGTACTGAAGAAGCGGGAAATTTGCCCCGCAAGGCTCGGTCCAGTAACGGTACGGGTAGAGGAAAGAGGAGGGAGGAGGGCTGGTTTCTCCCTTGTCCGGCGCACGCACGCGCGCGCACACACACACACACTGAGAGAGAGAAGAGAGAGAGAGACAGACAGACAGACAGACAGACAGACACACACACACACACACACACACACACACGTGAGGACGAGGAACGGGCCAAAGCGGCCTACCTGCAGGCAGATCGACCGACCTGCACAGGAACTTCGAACAACTTTGTCTGGACCTCGCATCCTCCTTCAGGATTGCGAAAGCTGCCTAAGAACTTGTGGGAGGGGAGTCGCTCTAATGTGCGGACAGTCTGGTAAGATTCCCCCCCCCCTCAATGCTTTCCTGGACTGGGTCTGAAGCAGGCATGGTCCTACACAACTAGTTTAGAAAGATCACCACAGAACACAAAGACAGAAAAAGAGAAGATTCAGACAGCTCCTCCAGACTGCGAGGCTTTGGGTAAATTGCACAATCCCAAAACGGTCCCAGAAGAAAGGAGTGGTAAATTAGCTGAGTATTCCCTACCTGGAAACCCCTGAAAAGGGTTGCCACAAGTCAGCATTGACTTGACCACATAGTCATCATCATCTATGCATACGCGCATCCTTACAGACGTGCACATATAAAAACATGTGCGCATGTACACATATGCTTCTACCAGCGGAATTGGATTTTTCCTCTCCGTCCCTTCCGCTCTTCTTTAATGGTACCATAGGACTCAGAGGATCTTACGTCTAGTCCTGGAGATGATCTTACGCCTAGTCCTGGCTTCAGTGCAATTACCACGGAGTAAGTGGGATGAAGGAGCCAGCCGGGCCCTCAGGGAACATGCTGATCCTGAACAACCCACAGGGCAGCACAAGGCTTCCCAAGGCGACAGAGCTCGAATTACGCGGCGATGCGCGGGTGGTTTGTGTGTGTGGAGGCGGCGGAACAACCTGCTTACTACTCGTGGTGATCAATGGCTGATGCGATTAAAATGGGGGCGAGTCATCTGGGGTAGCTGTGCATTTTATTCACGTCCCTCACGACTTGCGCCCTTCATAGCACCCTCCCCAAAAGTTTCCGCGCAGCGCGCTGTGCATAATTGCGACCTCTTCAACCCTTCAGTACCTGCACCTTAGCCGGCGCCACCCATTCCAAGAGGCACAAACACGCAGAAACAAAAGAAAACCATGTTGTTCTAACCTGACAGTGACACGTACTTAGTCTCCTGTGCAATGCAAATGTATGCGTGTCTACTCGGAAGCAAGCCCTACCACGTTCTCTGGGTGTGTTTGAGACTGTTGCTTTTCACCGCGAAGTTTACTATAAGTGACTGTGAACTGCACTTGCGATGTTTCCTTTACATTACACTGGATTAAAATCCACTTTAATCTCCCGGGATGGCGACGGTGGCTGTGCTTTTAGTCTGCTGCAAAAAAAAAAACACGGCAGTCTTCTGGCACCCGAATGAGGAACACGTTTTGTCCAGCACAAGCTTTCCTGGACTTCAGCATCTATTGAAGGGAGCTGCAGTTCACGAACTCTTGTAACAAACAAAACTTATTCCTTTTTCAGGAGCCACAAAAAGCTGTTCCTGAAACCAGTGGTAGATAGTCGTTGAGGACTGCGCCCAAAGGTCTCGTTTTCAGCCCCATGAAGATTTTGAAGCCTGTGGTAAACTCTCTCACTGAAAATAATGGCTGCCATCCCTCCTGTTTTTTTTAAAGGTCTTATCCGGTCCTATTGAGAATTAGAGGCGACCCAAAACTCCTCAAAAACGAAACACATGTGAGTGTGGAAAGGATCAATTGGCAACCAAAGGACTTTCAGGCATTAACAAAGTTGACCTCCAATGCCTCCCCCCCCCCACCGCCTCTTGTTTTGGAGCAAAGTTATGTCTAAGATCCGAAAACAAAAAGTAACTACTTCAGATAGGAAGGGGGGGGGCTTGAGGACCACTGGTTGACTGTGGAGCTCTGAACGAAGGCTGAGCTGTCGGGCAGAGAAGAGTCCGCCTGGGGGCTAAAGTCCAGGGCCCCAGA